GTAGATTCTAAAAAAGAATTCATAAAGCCAGAAAATAGAATGTGATTTCTAATGGCAGAGGGTGAGTACAGGGAGTGGGATTGAAGAGATATTGGTCAAAAGATATAAAATTTCAGTTAGAATAAATACATTGAGAAGATTCCTGTTGTATAACATGGTGACCATAGTTAATAGCAATGTATACCTGAAATTTTTAAAAAAGATTTATTTTTATTGGAAAGGCAGATATATGGAGAGGAGGAGAGACAGAGAGGAAGATCTTCCATCCGATGGCTCACTCCCCAAGTGTCCACAACGGCCCGAGCTGAGCTAATCCTAAGCCAGGAGCCAGGAGCTTTTTCCAGGTCTCCCATGCGGTTGCAGGATCCCAAGGCCTTGGGCCGTCCTCCACTGCTTCCCCAAACCACAAGCAGGGAGCTGCATGGGAAGTGGAGCTGCCATGATTAGAACCGGCGCCCATATGGAATCCCGGTGTGTGCAAGGCGAAGACTTTAACCACTACACTATCATGCCGGGACCTACCTGAAATTTTTTTAAAAGGATAGAAAATCTTAGCAAAAATAAATATGTAAGATAATGTGCATATGAATGAGCTTGCTTTAGCAATTCAACAGTGTATATACTTTAACACATGTTGTGTACCATATACATATGCCATTTTATCTATTTAAAAGATTATTAGATAGTCAAAATGTATATAATGTTAAATGTTAAATTTTAAAAGTAAAGAATTTCTTATAATAAAATATAGTTGATTCACAGGAATGAAATTGTAACAGAAGCTGTATATAATTTTTAGATTAAAATATAAAATTTCAGTTGAAATATTGTAAGACTGAAGAGTCCATAGATTAATAAAGTACTCTAAAACAATAAGAAGCAAATTTTATTTCTTTCACCTTTAAATACTCATTTACTTGAAGAGCTATTGATCAAAAGATATAAAATTCAGTTAGAAACCAGGAACCTGGAGCTCCATGTGGTCTCAGCTGTGGGTGGCAGGAGTCCAAGTAATCACTAGCTGCCTCCAAGAGGGCAGCAGCAGGAAGCTGTGTGGGAAAAAGTAGCTGGGACTTGGACCATACTTCAATATGGGTGTGAGTGTCCCAAGTATCCACTAAACTGCTGGTACCAAGTGATCACCCCAAAAAAGAGATTTTAAAATAAAGGGAATAAAACTCATAAATGAGAAGAAATACTGGTAATGGAATCTTAGAAAGTAGATGAATGTCAGTTACTTAATCAAGTTTACTTTGTCCAGGAAAGCTAAATCTTAAGTTAGCACTGGGCAAAAATTAAAAAGTTAGAACCATTTACATAGAATCTTCAACGACAGGCACTGGCAAATGTGGGTGCTGTATAAATTAACAGGATTCAAGTCAAACTCACATAAGGATTTATTTCTTGGTGCTGGCACAGTGGGTAAAGCTGCTGCTTTGGGCACCGGTTTGTATCCCAGCTGCCCCACTTCTGAACCAGTTCCCTGGCTAGTGGTCTGGGAAAACAGCAGAAGATGAACCAACTATATGGGCCCCTTGCTTTGGCCTGGCCCAGTGCCAGGCTTTGTGGTCCTCTGGGGAGTTAATCAGCAAATGGAAGCGCTCTCTCCCCTATAAATCTTTATATGAAACATTTTTTTTTCATGTGAAACATTTGTACTTTTTCACTGGAAACGTAGAAGGAGAAACTAAGATTTTCCACTTCCCCAAATGGCCGCAATGGCTGGAGCTGCACCTACCTAGAGCCAGGAGCTTCTCCTGGTCTCCCACATGGATGCAGGGTCCCAAGGCTTTGGGCCATCCTTGACTGCTTTCCCAGGCCACAAGCAGGGAGCTGGATGGGAAGTACAGCAGCTGGGACACAAACTAGCACCATATGGGATGCCATTATGGCAAGGCAGAAGATTAGCCAATTGAACTACAATGCCCCAAAAGTGGTTTGCTTTTTTGTTTTTGCTTGTTTGTTTTACGATTATTTGAATGGCAGAGTTAGAGTGAGGGAGAATAGAAAGATGGATCTTCCACTCACTGGCTCACTCAGATGGTCACATCCACCAGGATGGTCCAGGCCGAAATCAGAAGCTTCTTAAAGATGTATTTTTTATTGAAAGGCAGATTTACAGGAAGGAGACTAGAAGATCTTCTCTTTGCTGGTTCACCCTTCAAGTGGTTGCAACGGCCAGAGCTGATCTAATCCAAAGCTAAGAACCAAAAGCTTCTTGTGGGTCTCCCACATGGATCAGGATCCCAAGGCTTTGGGCCATCTTCCATAGCTTTCCCAGGCCTTAAGCAGAGAGCTAGATGGAAAGTAGAGCAGCTGGGACATGAACTGGTGCCCATATGGGATCCTAATGCATGCAAGGCAGGGGTTTAGCCACTGAACCATTGCACCAGGCCCTGAAATCAGAAGCTTCCTCAAGGTCTCCCACATAGGTGCAGGGATCCAAGCACTGGGACTGACCTCTACAGCTTTCCCAGGTGCATTAGTAGGGAGCTGGATTGGAAATAGAGGAGCCAGAATTCGAACCAGCTCCCATATTCCCATATGCCAGTGGAACAGACAGTGGCTTAAGGTGCTATGCTACAACACCAGCCTCCAGGGAGAAAATTTTTTTGAAGAGATCAGTAATCCTGAGATAGAAAATACTGATGATCCTAGAGTGGCAACGTAATGATCTGCTTGCAGTGCCAGCATCCCATATGGGCACTGGTTTGAGTCCTGGCTGCCCCACTTCTGATCCAGCTTCCTACTAATGGCCTGGGAAAGCAGAGGAGGTTGACACTGCACCCACACGGGAAACCTGGCATAAGCTCCTGCCTTTAGCCCAGCCCAGCTCCAGCCGTTGTGGCCATTTGGGAGTGAATTAGTGAATGAGAGCTCACTCTATACATTAACCTTTCAAATAAAAATAAATTAAATCTTTAAAAAATATATAATGATTGAAGCAAAAATGAGGTACAATAAGAGAAATGGGGATGCTTCTAAAATATTTGTATTGTTCAACTTATTGGCAAATCGCAGTTTTTTCTTTAAATCCTATTTACTTAAATACTTCTTAGTAGGTATGCTTCATGATTTACAAATTTTTAAAAGATATTAAAATAGGCAATAGAAATCTGTCAGAAAGTAGGCAGTTTTTAAAACGAACCAAATCGAACTTAAAGAAGTTAAACAGCTACGTGAATTTTTAAAGACAGGTTGAGTGAAAAAGCAAATTTAACATAGTTTTTTAAAAATATGTATATTTATTTATTTGAAAGAGTTACACAGCAATGACTGCAGTGACCAGGGCTAGGCCAGGCTAAAGCTAGAAGCTTCACCTGCATTGCCCGTATGGGTGCTAGGAGCCCAGGTGTTTGCTTTTTCTAGGTCATCAGCAGGTAAGTGGATTGCAAGTAGAGTAGCCAGGACATGAACTGGTGCCTATAGGGATATGCCACAGTGCTGGACTCAGAGACAGCTTTAAGGAAATAATTAGGGGCCAGTGTTGTACATGTCAGGTTGATCTATATACATTGCTGACATCTCATTTAGGTCCTGCTTCAAGTCCTGGCTGTTCCACTTCTGATTCAGCTCCCTGCTGTTGCACCTGGGAAACCAGTGTAAGAAGACCCAAGTACTTGGACCCCTGCACCCATGTGGGGGACCCCAGATGAAGCTCCTGGCTTCAGCCTGGCCCAGCCTTGGCTGCTGGGACCATATAGGGAGTAAAAAGAGTACAGGTAATCTTTTAGCCTAGCAGTCAAAATGCTCACATCCTATAATGGAGTACCTGGGTTTAATATATTTAGGCTGTGCCTCCTGACCCCAGCTTCACACTAATGCAGACTTTGGAACGCAACAGTGATGGCTCAAATGGGGTTCATGCTGCCCATCCAGGAGAATGGATTGGATTGCCTGCCACCCAGCTTCAGTCCTAACTGGGAACCATTGCAGACATTTGAAATATGAACCAGCAGATAAAAATATACACTTTCCCTTATTCTTTCCGCTTTATAAATAAATTAAAATTTTTCTTTTAAAAATAGATTAGAGGGTAAATATTGCAAAGTTACTCCAAAAACAAAACTTGGAAAATATGAAAGAACAAGAGTCAGTTGTGAAGATTTCCAACACCTGGAGTTCAAAACAATCAATACATGGGAGGCAATATTGGAAGAATAGGAATTTTCTAAAAACTACATGAATCTTGAGATTGGCAAGTCAGGTGAATACTAATAAAGATCAGAAGCAATCACTGCAGTATGAAAAACAAAAGTATCATCAGTAGATAAATTATCCAAAATGACATGGTAATAGCAGACTTAAAATTAGCACAAATAGTAACAACAACGGAAGCCAGAAACTGGTTGAGTGGAAGCCAGAACTCCATCGGGTGTTAACCTCAATATTCAGAAAGGAGTAACTACCAACAGTAAGTTGCATGGTCAGCTAACCCTTTTATCAAAAGGAAGAGAAGCTTGAGCAGTGTGGCACAGCAATTATGCTGTTATGTGGGAAGCCTGGATTTCAGATGGGAGTGCCAATTCAAGTCCCAGCTGCTTCACTTCCAATGCAGCTTCCTGCTAATGCACCCAGGGAGGCAGCAGATGGTGGCTCAAGAGCTTAGCCTCCTGCTATTCACATGACAGACTCGGGTTAATTTCTGGGTTCTTGACTTTGGCCTGGCCAGCCAGGGATGTTGCAGATATATGAGGGATGAAGCAGTACAGGGACAGGATCTCTGCCTTTATAATGGATGAAGTAAGTGCTTACAAAGTAAATTTTGAAACTTGAAAGTGAAATTAAGATTTTTTTTTTAAAAAACAAGATTTTATCTCAAAGTCTTAAAAATTTTGAGGTGTTCTTCAGAGTATTGTCTAAAGGAAGGTTGGAGATAAAGGAACAAATGATAAAAAGTTGTTAAATGTGCAAATTAAATGCATGACTAAATTCTTTAAAATTTATTTTTAAAAATTGCAGTATTATAACAACTATATTTTGTTGGATTTCTTCCATAGGTGCACAGAAGATGGGTGTCCACATAAGAAATTCTTTCATACACGTTTCCTCATGCGAATGAGATTAACACCAGATTGTTCAAAAATGTTGATCTCAACATCCTCTGGATATCTCTTGATTTTGCATGATCTTGACTTAACCAAGTCATTAGAAGTAGGCAGCTATCCCATTTTGAGAGCAAGAAGAACTACATCAAGCTCTGGTAAGTTTTTTTTTAAATAAGAAAAATGAGGTTTTTTGAAATAATCTTAGACCTAAGGGTGGTCTATATTTTTAAGAATGGTAATGGGACACAGGAAGGAAAAGGCATTCTTTAGAGAGCTCTGTGGTAGGGCTTTCTAAGGCAGTAAAATAATTGTTTCTGACAGCATTAATTTATATCAAAAGTGGTCTAGGGAGAATAACTGTTAATTCTAAAAAATATTTTCCTTTAGCTTCTGAATCATCACATTGAAAAAGCAGTGATGGCCCAAGATGGTATCAGTCTTAAGCTCTTCTGGAATTCAGCAGAGCTTTGAAGTTAGGGTCATTATAGAATCTGAGTTAAGTCTGTATTGTATACTAGAGTTCCATATTTACATAATACAAAGTGGTGCCATCTCGTCTCCTTGCTTGTACCCTCTCCCTTCGCCCATTGCGGATTTCGTTAGATGTAAATGATCTTGGAACTTAGAAAAACCTATTAGATCAATATTAGACTATTTCATCTACTTTATGGAGAGGATTAGTCAAGGAACATATCCATAATCTACAATACAGAGAAAACATTTGGATCATAGAATGTTCATAATTTGCAATAAAAAAGTTGGTTCAAGTGTTTAGAATCTTTCTCCTGAGTGTTCAAGGCCAATTCTGAGAAAATTAAGCATAAGTTGTATGTGTAGTTGCTCAGTTTAATAAAAGCAGAAATTTAAGTATAACTAGCTTATCTGCAAGCCAAACATTTTATAGATAAGTGACTATAATTGTTTGTTTTAGCAAAAGTTGAACATTGAGAAACAACTTTAGCTTAGCAATAGTAATTTAGAATATCTAGTTGAACTTTGATTTTCAGCTTCCTAAAGATCATTCTGATACCAGCTAACAGGATAAGAGATGAACTGAGAGTGCCCTGTAGAGATGTGAGGCCAGTGCACAAGTGTGATGAAATAATGTATCACACTCAAAACGATCTGATTTGATTTTTTTTCTAGTTTCATTGTAAAGCTTTATATTACATTTCAGAAATAGGGTTTATATAATTTTGAGAGTGATAAAACTTTTTGATAGCTGTAAAGAAAGGTCTGTTTGTGCTCCCTTTAGTGGGCCTGTGCCTGGACCCACTGTAACATTAACTAACAGGCTAAATGGCTTAGTTTTTTTTTTTTTTTTTTAATTCTTTGGTTCTGTTGTACTACATAAATGATGGGAAAATAAAATGCTTCTTATTTGGTTTTTCATTTTTATTTCACATAAGCAAGTTTTGGGCCTGAAAGATTTTAGGAAGGGATTGGGCCTCAAACAGCTGCCCTTCTGTCAGTATCAATTAATGGCTCAGTTTTGTTTTTTTTTTTAAAGATTTACTTATTTATTGGAAAGTCAGATATACAGAGAGGAGGAGAGACAGAGAGGAAGGTCTTCCGTCCGATGATTCACTCCCCAAGTGAGCACTGATGCTATGGCTGATGCTATGCCGATCCTAAGCCAGGAGCCAGGAACCTCTTCCGGGTCTCCCACGCGGATGCAGGGTCCCACAAGGCTTTGGGCCGTCCTCGACTGCTTTCCCAGGCCACAAGCAGGGAGCTGGATGGGAAGTGGAGCTGCCGGGATTAGAACCAGCGTCCATATGGGATCCCAGGCACGTTCAAGGCGAGGACTTTAGCTGCTAGGCCACACCGCCGGGCCCACTGGCTCAGTTTTTTATGTGAATTTTTTTTTCCCGTTTTTCAAATAGATTTTAAAACTATGGTTCAAATAGATAATTAAACAGTTAAGAGACCCGGCTAGATTTCTGCTAGGTTAACTGTCAGAACTCTTTGTATTTTCAAGATTTGACCACGTCATCAAGTTCATCTGGTCCTAGGATTTCTGGCTCACCTTGTCATCACAACGATTCTAATTCAGCTACTGAGAAACACATGTCCCGAGCCTCTCAAAGAGAAGGTATGTGAAAGTCACCATACACACAGCTTCCTGTGGTGCTTACCTCTAATAATAAAACTATTTCTTTTTTTAAGATTTATTTATTTTTATTGGAAAGTCAGATATACAGAGAGCAGGAGAGACAGGAAGGTCTTCCATCCAGTGATTCACTCCCCAAGTGACCGCAACAGCTGGTACTGCACCGATCCGAAGCCAGGATCAAGGAACCTCCCCCAGGTCTCCCACATGGGTGCAGGGTCCCAAGGTTGGGCCGTCCTTGACTGCTTTCCCAGGCCACAAGCAGGGAGCTGGATGGGAAGTGGAGCTGCCAGGATTAGAACTGGCGCCCATATGGGATCCTGGGCGTTCAAGGCAAGGACTTTAGCTGCTAGGCCACACCGCCGCCGGGCCCAATAAAAGCTATTTCTTACCCTGTCTGGAGCTTCACTGTCTCTGGGCTTAAATCTCAGAGGGTATGTGAGCTTTGGTTTTATTATCTGGACCAAATTTGGTCTTACAAGAGGAAGTAGTGGGAAAATACAGATTTTGGTTAATGCTATAAAAGCAAAATAAGCTTAAGCTTACAGAAGTGCCATATAAATGAGAATACAAGTATCAGGTAATGGCAGAAGTCTTCTGGTTCCAACTCGGGAGGTCTTCTGCTCTGCCATTTCCTGCTCCTGAAATGACTGACAGCTTCGGGGATCGGGTGGTTAAGGACTAAGATGGGCTGTGGTCTGGGCGCACTGCAGTTGCCAGTTTTTCCTCATCCTGGCTGGCGGAACCAGCTACTCTGCTTGTCCTTTCTGCGCCCTAACTGAAATGCTTTCCACCTGTCCCCATGCTGTCCTCCGCACTACTGACCCACGTCAGCTCTTGCAGCATGTGTTGTTTCTCATGCTCTTTGTAGACCAAGTTTGTTAAAGGTCACTCTGGACTGCCGTTTTGGGTCACTTTTTAGAGATAGGCCCGTCTTTGCCTTGGCATGCAGCGTGGGGACTAAACCTTAGACTCTGATTTGTGCTTTGTGTGGCTTCCCCTGGTAGTGCTGGTTCTCTTGTTTGACGATGCATATCAGTAAAGTGGCTTGGGTGTCCTTTCTAGACTATAAGCAGGAGACTGGTCTGTCCCCTGCATGTTGAAACTTGATATTTATTTCACATAAAGGATAAAAATCCCTGCCCTTAAATATAAATGTGTATGTCTAGAAGTATAACATTTCTCCTTTTATAGATTTTGCCTTTTCTTTCCTTTTTTACTTTGGCTGTGGGAAACAAGCTGATTAGTGGGGCGGGGGGGAGCATCTTGATAGTTTTGTCTGCAGCCATATCATCCTGAATACACCTGATCTCATCTGACTGGTAGCAATGGCATTCATGAAAAAAAGAAAATTTAAGAATAGTTAATGTGCTTGCTTGTTATTGGCTAGTGGTGAATACAAATATACAGTAGGTTCTTATAATAGGGATTGGGAATTGAAGGAAGAAGTAAGAAAGGTAGGAGATGGAGAAAAAAAGAGAAAGGGTGAGTGGAGAGTCTTTAGGAATGAAATTGTTCTCAATTTTGGAAATCCTGAATGCTGTCCAGGTATTAAGAGTATGTTGACAACATCCTTTGGTGGATGTTTTCAAGCTTATTTCACCACAGAAACTGCTTTAACATGAAAGCCATGCGTTCTCAAGGATGCAGAACAGATAAGATCAGATTAGTTCTGGTTGAAGCAGAAGTTCCAGCAGGTATGAATTCATTGTTGGACATGGGTTGCCTGTGGCAGTATAACGAAGAACGTTACAGGTTTCCATCAGTGATGTAGTAAAGGGAATTTTTTTGGTATCTGTCTGAAAAACCATTCACAAAGAAATTGACAGATTTCATTACTTCTAGGCATACACTTTCCATATGCGTGTACCCTCAAAACTCCATTCACATGCCACACATTACTGAGCCTCCCTTTTCTTTACATGTGGGGGCACCGGAGGCAGAATCAGAAAAGGACATATAGGGAATGGCTGCAAGAAATTAAATGTTTGACAAGCTGTCTTGGTCATCAAATACTGATATCCTTCTTTTCTTGTATCTCAGGAGTTTCACCACGAAACAGTCTTGAAGTCTTAACCCCTGAAGTTCCTGGTGAAAGAGACCGTGGAAATTGCATCACATCCTTACAGCTGCATCCAAAAGGCTGGGCCACTCTGCTTCGGTGCTCAAGCAACACTGATGATCAGGAGGTACTACGGACAGACATTGCACCTGCAGGGGCTCGTGGGACAGGCTGCCATTGCCCAGTACACAGACCTTAGCACTGCACCCAAGTCCATACTCTCATAGCTGCTGTGTTAGAGAGTTGGCTTTTTGGGTTTTTTTTAAGATTTATTTTTATCGAAAAGGCAGGTATACAGAGAGGAGAGACTGAAAGATCTTCCATCTGCTGATTCACTCCCCAAGTAGCCACAGCGGCCAGAGCTGAGCCAGTCCGGAGCCTGGAGCCTGAAGCTTCTTCCGGGTCTCCCACGTGGGTGCAGGGTCCTAGGTCTTGGGCAGTCCTCTACTGCTTTCCCAGGCCGCAGGCAGGGAGCTGCATGGGAAGTGGAGCTGCCAGGATATAAACTGGCTCCCATATGGGATCCCAGGCAAGGACTTTAGCCATTAGGCTACCACACTGGGCCGAGATTAGGCTTCTTGATCTTTCTCTGTCCTCTCTTGCTTCCTAGTACCCATATCCTTTACAAACCCTTATTCCCCCTTCCCTGCCTAGCATTGGGAAGCTGGGAAATATTTGTAAAGGCCATCATAACCTCAGATTATGCTTGGCTACTTAAATCTTTCCTCCATTTCACCTTTAAAAAAAACTTATGTAATAAACACAGGACTGAGACAGTTCACGTATAATGGCTAAATGTGAGATTTTGCTAAGCTAGCTGAATTATTATTATTATTATTTTTTTTTTTTTGTAAAAACCATGGAATACTGTAGACAAGGAAAAGACTGGAAAATCTGAGGGGTAAGGTCCTAAATGACTTCAAAATCTCCAACACTCTGGAAGGCCAAGTCCTGTTAGCCTGGCCGTGGGGGCCACAGTTGGAAGGAGGCGGGAAGAGCCTCAAGATGTAGGGAAAAGGCACTAGAAAGGCATCCTTGTACCCCAGGAGTTGTTGAAATGTCAAAATGGTTGTTGTCCTCAGAACAGGGACTGTGTTACTATTGAAGTCACAGGCAGCTTCAGAGAACAGAAGCTTTTACAGCACAGAGGAGGTTCGGTTTAAGAAAGTAACAGACTATAGGACCTACAGATTTTGTTAGTTGGAAAGGGTTGGGCCGATGTCCTGCAGCAGTGCTATGACACTGAGGGTCTGTTGAGCTTTTTAAGGGTTATCTCCAGCACTGTTGGAGTCACTATAATGTCCATTTGTCTTCCTTCTCTCTGCCTAGTGGACTTGTGTCTATGAATTCCAGGAAGGCGCTCCAGTGCGACCTGTCTCCCCTCGCTGCTCTCTACGACTGACTCATTACATTGAAGAAGCCAACGTGGGCAGGGGTTACATCAAAGAACTTTGCTTCAGCCCAGATGGGCGAATGATCTCTTCCCCTCATGGCTATGGGATTCGCTTATTGGGATTTGACAAGCAGTGCAGCGAACTTGTTGACTGTTTACCCAAAGAAGCCAGTCCCCTGCGGGTGATCCGCTCTCTGTACTCACATAATGATGTGGTACTGACGACGAAGTTCTCTCCAACGCATTGTCAGATTGCCTCAGGGTGCCTTAGCGGACGGGTTTCTTTGTATCAGCCAAAGTTTTAGGCACAACTTACATCAAAACAAGGAACTCTTCTGGTGTTTGACTTATAAATTACTTCAATTTAGATGAAGTATTTTCAGAATATCTAAAGTTTGGGTCAAGATCCTAGTTCTTACGGGTCTACGGACACCCCTGTGACCTGAGCACTCGGTCGTCCAGCACCATCTGGGCATCTCTGAGGTAGACGTGCTGCAGCAGCGCATCAGCATTCCTCTCCTCCTGCTGATCTGTGCCACTCGGCTCCACCTCTTCTGGGGATTTTGCACAATCACTCTTGTCGTGTTCCGGTTCTTTACCCTCCTGCTTTCCCCGGTTCCTTCTCTCTCCTCCTCCCCAGTTTTGGTGTAAATATTGTGGACACTTGACAGGAGTTTTGGTTGAGACAGGAGAAACCCATGACACAAGTATTGAATAAAACCCAGAAGTTTCATGTGGGAATACTGATTGTTGAAAAAGAAATCTCATCTTCATTTATCAGTGTATTTGGCCTTTTAAATTCAGAGCACAGATAATGGCATTATTCTCATACTTGTTAGGTAGTATTGCAACAAAATGTCTTAAGCTTCCTGTTAATATACAAGGTTTGTCTTTTGGTGGTTTTTGTTTTGTTTTGTTTTGTTTTTTTCTTCTCATGATGAGAGAGATTTTGCTGTGAAATGCTAGGAAAAAAATATTGCCGGCTCTTTGTACTTGTATGAATTTAAAATCTCCAGCATGTGCCCTTACCTGGTGTTTTGTTCCCATGCACAGCATTCGAAAGGAAAGAGAAGGGGTAGGCTTTGGTTACTCCCACCGTGCAGAAGACGACCAGTTGGATTCGTATGGTGTCCGACTAGCACGATGCCAGCAACATGGTTTTGATTTTTCTGTGTCGTCTGCCAGATTGCTTGGATTGCTTAGCATGATGTGTTAGCACTGGGCTGAAAAGGAATCCACAGGTGGTTTTCCATGTTTCACAAGTTCAGCTCCCTGACGGAGAGTGAGGGGAGTCCTGCAGCCCTCTGCCAGCTGCTGTCAGAGCCCTGATCATCCGTCACTTAATGTCAAGACGAAGTGCTCATAGGAAGGACTTTGTTTTGCTTCTGTTTTTTGTATTTTGTTGTGGCATGAAACAAGTGAGAGCACCAAGTGGGGTGCTAGGGCCAAAAACAAGGAGACTGCTGTGCTGAGTAAGGCACTGCCTGGTAACCTGCACTCTGAAGGGGATTGTGTTTAGAAGGGATTTTTCTAGAAGCTGGAGTTACTCAAGCCATGCACTAGCCTCGCCCTCCTAGGCTGCTTACTTCTAGGGCAGTGGTTCTCAAATGTTGAGGTGCATTGTAATCACTGAAGAGCCTGTTAAGAATGCAGAGACCTGGGCCTCACCACAGAAAACCCTTACTCAGCCAGGAGAGGGTAGGACTCTGTATTCTTAAAAGGAACCCCAGGTAATCTTTATTCAGTCTTGGGGTTGGAGTTTTAAAAATACAACCTTAAACAGCAGCAAATACTTCTATAACCATTGGTGCTTAACACAGTTCTCAGAAGGTGTTTTAATTATTTTAGTAATAAGTAAAGGAATTTTATAGGCAGACATGGTATTAACTGCATTTTTGACAGATGAGTGAACTGGCTAAGATCATCCTGCAGAGTTAGAATCAGGTCTCCTGATTGCTCAGGGCAGCTTCTACTGTAATGTGTCGCCTGTAAGTTACATTACTGTGAATACCCAGAGACTCATCAAAGATTGAAACAGCAAGGCATGAAGGTAGAGCCAAGAACTCCAGTCACAAGAAGAAAAGCTTCTTAAATCTTACTGAAAAGCGTAAACAACTTAAATACATGACTAAACGTGATGTCTGTAGGAGCTACTGTGAATAAACACGCACGGGCATGGGGTGATTCACATCCTCACTGGGAACAACGCTGGCTTTTAAGCTAATTTTAAAAATTAGATCCACTTTACCCACAGCAAACTTTTAGGCATTGAAAATTACCACAAGGCATAGTGAAAACAAAGGCTTGCCATCAACTTCATGAAAAGCACATACTTAAAAAATTCGTTTGGGGAGTAGAACCATCCAAAATTCTCATTAAAAATAAGTTACCTCGTACCATGGTCATACCAGTAGTCACAAGAAGATGGCGTGAATCACACCAGCCTTGGAAAGAGTTCCCTGTCGGCTGTTGGCATCTGTTTGTTACCTTGCCCTGAATGCACCCAGTGAGTCTGAACCACTGCAGAGGACCTGTATATCAAATAATATACATTGTGTGCCATTCCTCCCAGAAATCTCGCAAGGTTGGGGGTATGAACCCCAGTTTACTTGGGAGGTGAATCAGGAAGATTGGGTGGCTCACCTGAACTCAGCAGTGACTGACATGACCGGGGTGCCCACCAGGGCTGAGTGACGCCAAAGCCTGTGCTTACTGCTCTTTTTGTCTTTCAGTTAGTAAATGAGCCTGTTTATTTGCTTAGCATCTTCTAGAAGGTTGGGATTACAAAGCCGGTTTACCTTCGCTTACCTTCTGATTCAGGTAAAAGCATTTTCAAGAGTGACTGTTTCCATGGGAACCATAAACGTGGGGCATAAAGTCCCTTTCTGACTCGAAAATCAGAGGCAGGATTAACAGCTGTTAAATGGGAGGAAAGTGAGGGTAAGCAGCCTTGAATAAAAAGCAAATAAAAAGGAGCCACACAGATGAGAATTTAAAACACAACCAGCAAGAAGGAATCTGTGTTCTCCTTGAGGTAACCGTTACCATCAAAAGGGCATCCGGGAACAGGAGGCAAGAGCTGAAGGGTGTGAGGCGCGCCCCACCCCTGGAGGAAGTAACATCTCACATCAAACTTCAGTTCAGTTACTTCTGTTCTTAAAAATTAGCACCTGTACTATTCGTGTTAATGTAATGGAATCATTGATAAAATGTAATACAAATTGTTCTGTTTTAAAAAGCTTTCTCTAGAACAGTATATTTATGACAATGCTACATTGAATTAGTTAAGAACCTCAAATATACAACAGTTCCTTATGTTTAATTATGAAAATGGAAGTTGGCTAAAGTAGAAGACACCTCTAGCTTAGTCTGTTTAAATGTGTGCGGGTTTTTTTTTTTTTTTTTTTTCCTCAGAAGTTCAAAGCACATACATATTTTGTAAAGGATATCCCCAAGACCGTACCAAAAATATTAGGAAGAGAAGGAAGAAGACCATCCCATGTTCCTCACCCTTCTCTCGAGGCCCAAGGCGAGGTTTTGATCATTGACAGAAGTTGTGTTCCGCAGCAAGCGTAATATAGGAAAAGCACTTGGAGAACCTGCCAGAGGCCGAGTGTTTCCCATGTTGCTGAGAGCCAAGGGCCCAGCACCCGAGTGTGTCAGGGCCCCATCTGGGGAAGGGAGAGTATTGGAGATGGCAGTCATCTCCCTCTACTGACCAGCGATCGTGGGACTCACTCGGGTACACCCCACGCTGGCCTGAAGAAAGGCACATGTGTGATTTTTGGGGTAACTAATGCCCATCTCTTAAGTGCCAAAACTTAAACCTGGTAATTATTTTTGATGCAAGTCTTTCAGGTATGCTAACGTACCTCCGTGCCCTCATAAAGAGCATGCTCAGTATAAGTCATTTTTTTACGATGAAAAGTTCTAGGCATAACATGTAATTTTACAAACATCCATGAGCTATGATACATACGCTTCATGCAGTGTTAAGGGCTATAGCAGCTACAGCTGAACCGTTACCTAAACCAAGCGACTCCCTCAGTCCTGAGATCCATAAAAGCACTACTTGCCTCCAACCGCAAGCTTGTGTTTTTCAATTTTTTTTAGATCTGCTGGGCGGCGGGATTCGCCGCTTCCCTTGCTCTCAGCCTGCCTGTGCACAGGGCCCCCGCCTTCTGCCAACTAGCTGTGTTCTAGTGTTGCGAACCAGGATTGAAGGACACAGCCTGCCGCGTCTGGACGAGCTCAGGGTACGCAGTCTTTGCCAAGGCTCTCGGCTGCTTTCCCCCGTCCTGACAGGCACAGCAACCCAGGTAACCAAAGCTCCCAGTTGAAGTTGAGGCTACAGTTTCAGCTGACACTAGGTAAGATACTACAAACCAACATGCTACTGGATGGCGGGTTAGAAAATAGTGTACCAAAGTTCAACAAGTGACAACAGAGGCTCCAGTTTGCACAAAGGTCTTACCGTGCTTTTAAGTACAAAGAAGCATACAAGGGGAAAACATGAAAAAAATCCACATTGACAAGAGTATTTGAGCTGCCACTAAACTGTAAGTAACTGTTGAGATGTATGTTGAAATTGCCACATGCTGCTACAAAGATGCAGTTTAGTCTCATCGATTAAGATTATATTGAAATTTATATTCTGGATGTCCTAAGAATTTCTGCCATTCAAATTAAGGGAAGTTATTATGAAAAAGGAAGTCTCCAATTCTGTGCTGCTCTCTTTAATTATAAATGAACCTGTGCTAGAGATGGGGGTTTTATCGGACGCCCCAAGGGACATGTTTTGGATACACACGTGTTGTATCAGTGTGGGAATATACATGTCACAAGTGGAATATCACCTGGAGATAATAAACTAATTTTTAAAATTTAAGACTGGTCCAAAGACTTTAATAGGTAGAATTTTCAGCTTTTGCAAGCTTCTTCCTCATAGAGATTTCATGACTCCTTAAACATCTGAGTTTTCTCTTAAATCTCACCATGTATTCCATTTGTGGACTGTGCTTTGTGATAAATTTTAAATCTGCATTCACAGGAGATTGGAAGTGTTGCAGAGGATATGCCGGGTGCTAGCAGATGTTCTGTGTCTGGGGAGCTGTTCCCTGCTCTCGTGCTAGACTGAGCGTCTGGAGGGCAGGGGCTGTCTGATCCTGTGTCCCCGCTGTGCGGTCAGAGGACCGGCCACAGAGCAGCTGGTCAGGAACTATTCACTGAAGGAATCCAGCCAACCTTCACACTCGAGGTCTCTCAAGCTCCCGTGAAGCCAGACCACGGTGTGTCAGCCACTCAGTGCCATTCCTTAGAATCACCAGACCATATTCAGAGAAAGATTTCCAATGTCAAGTAATGATTTCTCATTTCATTTGGAAAACTATAGGTTAAGACTCAATTTTTCATCAACATATATTTAAATCCCTATTCTGTGTCTGATCTAATGCCAGTGAATGAAGGATCAAAGATAATTTGACGTCCTGGTACTTTAGAGAGGCAGTTACAAACCAGAGCTACGAGTGTCATTGGCCCCACAGCAGAGCCCCTTGCCAGCTTGAATGCGCGCCCCGCCGCCCCCCGCCCCCCGGCCATTCTAAACTGTTTTGAAAAAGGGTCTGCAATACTGTTTTACTCTGAGCGCGCAAAATTATGTGGCTGGCCTTGTTTAGACGTCTGGTTTTGATACATGGGAAACAAAGATTACAGCATCTTCCACTTATAGAAAAAAGTTGTTCACAATCAATGAAGACCAGCTAGAGAATGCGTGATTTATAAAACTCCTTTTCAAGTCTTAGGCACCCTCTCCTAGCTTTCCTGACTGATCAAATGTCCTGCGTTTTTTTTTTTTTTCTGAAGATTTTATATTTTTATTGGAAAGACGGATATACAGAGGAGGAGAAACAGAGAGGAAAATCTTCTAATGGCTCACTCCCCAAGTGAACGCAATGGCTGGAGCTGAGCCAATCCAAAGCCAGGAATCAGGAGCTCTTTCAGGTCTCCCACACTGGTGCAGGGTCCCAAGGTTTTGGGCCTTCCTCCACTGCTTTCCCAGGCCACAAGCAAGGAGCTGGATAGGAAGCAGGGCCGCCAGGATTAGAACCGGCGACCATATGGGATCCTGGGGTGTGCAAGGCGAAGACTAACCACTATACTATCACACCAGGCCCAAATGTCCTGCGTTTAAGAATTGGAAAACCTGTCTACAGACGAAACTGGCTTTCACCTTTTGTCCTGAGTTTTTCAAATAGATGAATACAGAGTTGCAGGTGATTTTCTGTTGTCTAAATATACCTACATAGATTTGCCAATTGTAAGGCTTTATTAACCTAGTATATTCATACTGAATAGTTTGACACAAATCTGCCTTATAAGAGACTTAAGATTTATTTAATTTAACTGCAGATTTACAGAGAAAAGGAGAAACAGAGAAAAATCTTCTATCCACTGGCCCACTCCCCAAATGGCCACAATGGCTGCAGCTGAGCTGATCCAAAGCCAGGAGTCAGGAGCCTGCTCCAGGTCTCCCATGTGGGTGCAGGGTCCCAAGGCTTTGGGCAGCCTCCACTTCTTTCCCAGGCCACAAGAGGGAGCTGGATGGGAAGTGGAATAGCGAGGACATGAACTGGCACCTACAAGGGGCAGGATTTGCCAATTGCACCACCATGCTGGGCCACTCATAATGTACGATTAAAACAATAACTGTAGGACTGTGCATAGGGCTGAGTGGTGAAAATGCCAGTTGGAATGCCCCATCCCATTTCCGTTTTCCTAGGCTTGATCCAGGGCTGCAGTTCCTGACTGGGGGGAGGCAGCAGCAATGGTTCCAGTGGCTGGATTCAAGCCACCCATGTGGGGGCCTTGGTTGAATCCTTGGCCTGACCCAGCCCTGGCCATTGTGTGTACGTGGGTTGTGAACCAGCCAATAGGGAAGCTGTCTCTCCCCCCTTCCCTTCCACCTCTCTGTTGCTCTCTCACTCAAATACAACATGTTTAAAAAAAAGTGTCTGAGTCTGGCGCAGTAGCCTAGAGATTAAAGTTCTTACTTTGCATGCACCAGGATCCCATATGGGTGCTGGTTTGTGTCCTGGAGGCCCCGTTTCCCACCCAGTTCCCTGCTTGTGGTCTGGGAAAGCAGTAGAGGACAGGCCAAAGCCTTGGGTGCTGGAAAGTCAGATATACAGAGGAGGAAAGACAGAAAAATATCTTCCATCTACTGGCTCCCCAAATGGCTGCAACTGCTGGAGCTGATCTGATCCGAAGCCAGGAGCCTCTTCTGGGTTTCACAAATGGGTGTAGGGCTGTCCTCTACTGCTTTCCCAGGCCACACGCTGGGAAGTGGAGTCACTGGGACCATAACTGGTATCCACATGGGATACTGGCGCACACATTGCAAGGACTTTAGCCACTAAGCCATTGTGCGGGGTTCAAAAATAAGTAAAATTTTAAAATAAATTTTCTAAAATTCAAGATTCTAAGTTTCTTCCTAATACCCCCAAAGGATGAACTATTCTTCATATTATGAGACTTTTTTTAAACATTCATTTTTATTGCAAAGTCAGATATACAGAGAGGAGAGACAAAGAGGAAGATCTTCCGTCTAATGGTTCACTCCCCAAGCGGCTGCAACGGCTGAAACTGAGCCAATCTGAAGCCAGGAGCCAGGAGTTTCATCCTAGCCCAACACTTGCTATTGCAGGAGTGAACTTGAAGACGGTGAATCACTATTAAATAATATATACACATATGTATTTTAATAGTTGGGTCCCTATCTCTCATATGGGACATCTAGATTGAGTCCCTGGCTCCTGCCTGTAGCCTGGCCCAGATCTAGATGACGCAGGCACTTGTGAACAGTGGATGATAGCTGTTTTCTCATCTTTTTAAAAAAGCAACAGCAATATATGACACCTGTAAGCCAAGCAGCTCCCATGAGCAGAAGGTCTAGAACAAAGGCCTTGCTGTGTTGAAGACAATCTCAAAAACATCACTGACCGTCAACACAGAAGTAGAGGCCTTTTCATTTTTTTTACATACTGATACTAGAAATTCAATGTTGAGATTTATTTTTTATTTGAAAAGCAGATTTACAGAGATGAGAAACAGACAGCTCTTCCATCTGCTGGCTTATTCCCCAAATGGCCACAATGGCTAGAGCTGAGCTGGCCCGATCCAAAGCCAAGAGCTTCTTTCATGTCTTCTGCGTGGGCACAGAAGCCCCAGGACTTGGGTCAGCTTCTGCTGCTTTCCCAGATGCATTATCAGTGAGCTGGATTAGAAATGGAGCAGCTGGATTTATGGGATGCTGGCACCATAGAGGGTTAACCTACTATGCTTTGGCACTGGGCCCCAATACTAGAAATATTTAAATCCTAATATATTTGAAAGGTACAGGGAGCTTCCATTTGCTGGTCCACTCCCCCAAATGCTAACAATGGTCAGGTCTCCTGCATGGGTGACGGGAGCCAGCCACTTGAGCCTTCCAGGTTCTGCATGAGCAGCAAGCTGGAGTTGTGAACCAAGCTGGGACTTCATTCAGGCACCCCAATATAGGACCTGATCACCTTAATCACTAGGCCAAACTTCTTTAAAATTTATTTCAAAGACAGAGTTAACAGAGAGGGAGAGACAGCTCTTCCATCTGCTGGCTCCCTCTCCAAATAACCACAATGGCCAGGGATGAGCCAGGGCAAAGCCAGGAGCCTGGAGCTGTTTCTAGGTCTCCCCGTGGGTGGCAGGAGCCCCAGCACTTGGGCCATCCTCTGCTGCTTTCTCAGGGGACATTAGCTGTGGGTTGGACCAGAAGTGGAGCAGCTGGAACACAAACCAGAGCTGATATTGGCTGCCAGCAACACTAGTGGCAGCTTCACCTGTTACACAACATCTGGGCCCTGCCCCTAGTATGAACAAAATGTTGCTTCATTCTGTAAAGCTGCAGATGTGAATCTGTAATCACCGTGCCATACATCATTTGTCTGCAGTAAGTATCACAACTCAAGATGGGCCATGAAGCAGACGCGTGTGAGTCTAACTCTGAAACTTAACTAGGTGTATGACTTTCAATCGCTCTCTCTAAGCCTTGGTTTGTCTCTGAATGGTGGTAATACCTTGTATCTACCACCTAAAGGATTAGATCACGGGTACTAATCCTAGTACTCGGCACCAAGTGAGCAAGCAGAGTAAAGCAAAGCTACCCAGACCCAGGGGGTGTGTCACATTAGAGGGCAAGGGTGGCTCGTGTTATGGATGGAACTGTGTGCACTCCTCACTGGGCCTTCTGCACGGGGCAGTACGGGGGGCTTGGAAGGAGGGTCCGGCAGGTGAGGGGCAGGGCAGGAGGATGGGTGGGAGCTGCCGAGGAACACAGCCAGTGCGCTGCAGCCTGTGGAGGGGGAGCAGCCCTGAGCCGAGGAGCTACAGGCAGCCTGGGGACGCTGGGACAGGCAGGACGCGGGTTCTCCCCTCGAGCTTCCCCGTGGAGGACTGTCCTGCTTGACCCCTAACTCTCATCAGTAAGGGCCATTTTGGACTTCCAGAACTACATCAGAAACTTGTATCTTAAACTGCCAAGTTTGTGTTAATTTGTTAGCATAGTAACAGGAAACTAATTTACATGATTAGTTCATTGGCATTAATGCATGCCAAATAATTTCCTTTTCAATAAAAAAAAGTATTTTCAGCCAGTCCCATACATGTCAGTCACAGAGATAACAAATAGTGTTAATTAGTGCTATGCTTAGTTATATCAGTTTTAATCATTAGTTTCAAAAAATAATTTCTATTGAGACAGCTCCTATTTTTATCTTCAGTGACTTACAAAAAAAACAAAAAAAAGCATCTTAGACATGCCTGTAATTATTCTAATGAATGACAATAATAT